GGCACCAACACCGATGGCGAAGGAAGCAATATACAAGAAGGCGGAGAAGATAGCCAATCAGCTGATATCGTTATCATTAAGATCATCAAGGAGGAAGAATACACCCAGTAGAATAGCTGCTACACACATACCAGCAGCACCCGCTACCAAAAGAACTCTTCTTCCCGCGATATCCATGATGATGCAAGCAATTAGAGTTACAACCACTTGAGCAGCCATAACAGCAAGTGCCATAGCCTCTTTGTTATCCAATCTAGCAGCCTGGAAGATAGTTGTTCGATAAAATATAACGGAATTGATACCGGAGAACTGCTGGAGGACTTGCAAAGCAATACCAATGAACAACTGCATCTTGCAATGGCCAAGCGCACTGGAAGCCCAGGAAGCACTCTCCTTCCAGGTGTTCTTTGCGTTCTTAGCATTATGGGCAGCTAATATCTCATAAGCCTTCACTTCTTCCATGATCTCAGGATCCTCTTCAACTGACTCATAACCTCTCAGTCTCAATAGAACCATCTTGGCATCGTCAGCACGACTATGCTGAGCTAACCAACGAGGAGATTCCGGAACGAAGAACATACAGATACCCAATAGAGCACTGGGAATCAAATAAATCCAACTCACAGTACGCCACTGACAGAAGGTGCCGTCGGTAGCATTGGGATCAATAGAGCCGGCATCAGTTCTGAAAGCCATCCCAAGAGCATAGGCGAGAAGGACACCGATTGTGATGGAAAGCTGGTTGCACGCTCCCAAAGTCCCACGAATAGCCGTGGGAGAAACCTCACCGATGTAGGTTGGAGCCACGACGGACTCAACACCAACAACGAAACCGACCAGAACACGAGCGAACAGCAACTGCCATGAAGTGTGGGCCAATGCCTGCCACGCGTAGATCAAAACGAAGCAAGGAGAGCACAACAACAAAGTCCGTTTCCTGCCGAACTTCTCACTGAAGGGACCCCCCAATAGGATAGCACCACCCATAGCGCCCAAGTTAACCAGAGACCCAAACAACGAACCATCTGTAGATGTATCAA